AATGGGAAGGCAACGTGGCTCAAGGTATCCTGGAGTGGGCTAAGGAAACCCGGGAATCACTAACCTGCCAGGGCCAGCTGAATGGTCTTGCATCGTCTCCTCCAACCACTCTGTTCAAGAGAGGTGGGTAGGCGGGATTCCCACAACTGAGGGCTGCAAGAGACACAAGATGGGGTCCGCTTTAGAAATCAGAACAGACCAAGCCACCAACCAAAACCGACCTGATCTTTGTGTAACACATGTTTGAACTTAGGGGACCGATCTGGCGCCCTTTCTATCACCACAGAGGTTTCTAAGCCATAGTCTATTCTCACCCTTACACTGCACCCATTACTCTGATAGGTGCTGGTCAGCGTCAGGACCACAGGATCAAGCTCTAAATCTGCAATTGGTAAAACAGATGAAATCCTACGTCTAGGCGGGATACATACCCCCAGTGGCCAGCGTCAGGGTAGCGAACAGGATACGGATCATGGTGCCCTGTAGCTGTGTCAGGAGCAGTGCCTCTTCTGAGCCCCCTTATATGTCCGTAGCGCTTATCTCTGGCAGATAGGGCCTGGAGCAGGGGGCGTGTGGCTCAGTTGCCAGTGGGAAGATTTCGCACCTGTGGGACATTTTCCTGTGTGTGCAAGTGCTAAAAAAAGATGGACCTTGAGATGCTGGCTTCAGCTCTGCCTTGTCTGGGGAGTGCTGTGTGAGCTGGATTTTGTTTGTTGCAGCTGTTTGCTCTCCCGCTATCTTGAGTCGTGGTCACAAATTTGTGGATGGAAGGGAAAATTACCTGAATTTGGGTGTTTGTGTGTGTGTGTGTGTGTGTAAATCTCTGCCCCAGCAATTCATGGGGAACTCCTAGTCCACAAAGTCCTCCAGGAGCCTCTGATGTTACAGTGGAAGAATGGGACTTTAGGGTAAAGCCACCAGGGCCTGGGTTTGAGGGTTAGGTTATGCGGGGAGGCAAGGGTGAGGAAGGACTTTGGCCGTGTGGCCAAAGGGGCAAAGGCGTGGGAAGGGCCTGCATTGAAGGGACTGGCTTTGGCATATTATTAGACCCTTATCTAAGTTGCCTTTTTTCAGGTGGTGAGATGGGGAGAACATTGGGCACTTGGGAGCAATAATTAGAGCTCCCCAGCCGCAAAAATATGAAGACCCAAAAACAATTCCCCTCCCCCACTGCCACCTTCTCTTTCAGCCCCAAAGTAATTGGGAAGCTAGAAACTGTATGTAAGAACTTTTTCACAGCCCTAGTAAAGCCCTTCCTGCTGGAAACTCACCAGGCTGCTGCGTATGGGTCCCACCAAACTTTTCCTTCCAAAATCCATCTTTGGTTGTTTTCCAAACATTTCCCAGGTAATGACGGTTTGGGATATTAAATGGGGCTAGTTCTGACAATCACACCTTGGGTTTCCCCATCATTTACTCACTTCTGTTGCATTGGAGGAGATGGTTCTTGAGAGGTGATAAAAAGCATTTCCGTCCTTTGGGGGCAGGAAGCCGGGCTCCTCCAGACCTGCCAGTATAGTGCCTATCACACTGTTGGTGCTAGATACATTATGTGGCTTTCTTACTGTTATCTGTATGGAGAAACTGCCCATGAATTGATCGGTTCTTGAGGCATCTCTCTATCTACAGTACTCATTATCCTGTGTCACTGTAGTATCTGAGCGCTTCACATTCTGTAATGTATTATCCTCACGTGAAGTGCCATTGACCCCAGCTTTAATATGGGGAACCCAGGCACAGAGAAGCTATGTGACATGCCCAAGGACGTCAGTGGCAGAGTGGGGAATAGACACTGGGTCTCCTGATCCCTACACCATGGCTATAATCAGATCAACCCTCCTCTCACGGCAGATGTCAATACGTTTAGGTTTCCAGTCCGGCTCAAGTAAAGAAACTTGTAGCATTAGATTGTCTGAGCTACTTGAGTCCTGTCTGTTACCGCTGCATGTGATCTCAACGCCCATTAAACTTAACCACAGCCCCATCTCCACAATACAACCTGAACTCCTGCCCCGAGACCTTTGGATCTGCAGAAGTTGTTGTTCATTACCTTGCTGTTCTTCCTTGCCTTGATGACGGAACTCTGCAATGCACCCGGGGTGGCTCAGATTTGAGATGAGTTTGGTCTCAGTATCAATCCACAGCAGAGGAATATTTGAACGAAGAGCAAAACCCACTTCAGAGTTTGGAGCCAATAATCCATGTGCTCTGGGAACACCCAGCACACTGGCAGGAGAACTGGTGGCAAATAGCTGCGTGTGCCACAGGAATTGGGCTGTTTTCAACCAGTTTGCTCAATTCCCCAGTGTCACAGGCACTTTAATTTAGAAAGGCCAATTGACTTATACAGAGAGCTGGGGACGGTGGTGGGGCGAGGTGCGTGTGAGTGTGAGAGAGAGCGAGAGTGTGAATATTTTACAGTATTTCCCTTCTACAATGTAGGTTGTGTAGTGAACCTAAAAGTCACCAGGAGGCACGGTTTGGCGCACATGGATTGGGTGCTGCCTCTTCATTTCTGGAGCCCTCTGCTCTTGCTCTGTGAAGGCCTTTGATCTGTCTTAGTCTCTCTGCTGTGCATGCGCATTCATCCCCAAAGCACAGACAAGTGAGCCCGCTCTGTGCTCCCCGGGAAGTAGGGAAGTGTTAACCCCATTTTGCCAAGAGGAGAATGGCGAGGTGGCTCATGTGAGATAACAGTGAATGGGTTAGAACTCAGCAATGCCTGGCTTCCAGCCCCGGGCACCCTTACGAGATGCAATACAGAGTTAGAGCCAAATCTTTTCTCTACCCCTCACCCTTAAAAAAAAAATTGTGTAGCAATCCCTGATTGCAGTCAAACAGGTACCATTCCACTGCCCATGGGAAGGTGGGGCAGGATTCCAGGAGCCCACAGATGGATTCTATAGAGCCATGCTCCCTTCTCCAATGCACGGGTGTTTTTGGAGGAGCAGGTCAGGGGAGGGTTGGATCTGGCACGTCTAGGACTGCATTAATCCCCTAGCCACTCCCCTACGCAACAGGGCTGTGCAACAGGACAATTTCCTGCATCATCCAGGAAAATCCTTAGTGAATTAAGGTTAAGTAGCTCTGGCATCCTTTAAAAATGCAACGTTTATGTGTTAGTGTGGAATTGTACACAACTTCTCTAGCGGCGAGAGGTGACCAGTGTAAACGCTGGGATGTGTTTTGAGCCCCAAAGGACTATTTGAAACAATGTGCCTGGCCAGAATGAACTTTTGGGACAAACAAATTTAAGTGGGCTTCCCAGAAAATCGTCAGGGGGAGGTGAATGCAAATGTACAACCACCCCTCCTTCCCAGTTGTGCAAAACCCCAGCCTTCTGAAGCTATGCCCTGAGGAAAGGACCTGTGTCTGCTGATCACCTGTTACAGGAGGACAAGAGCAAAAACCCAAACCTTATAAAGGAAAAACAAAACCTATGCACGGTTGTTCTTGCTCTGAGCTAAAGCAGTTGTGAACTTGTAGCCCCAGGAGAAAACCGTGCATAGGGTTTGAAGGACTGACTCCTGTCAGCGCCTGTTGGCGTTAGGGGCCTGATCTCCAGTAACCTTAATAGCAAGCATGTCAGTTCTTTTATCGTTTCTAATGATTTTGCTGTAATGCTTTCACCTTAAGAATAAATGTGCTTGCTTAGAAAGGGCTACACAGTAACTTAACTCTGGGCCATTACCCTGTTTGTAGCCTCTGGAGAGAAAGCAAAGCACAGATGCTGGCTGGGTTAGGCAGTCTGGCTTGCTGGAGAACTCACCATGTAGTTAGGGAACAGTGCAGCCTCGGAATACCCCGGTCAGAAATGGGAAAGATGCAGGTCCCCACCCACGAGAGGTGACAGCTGGGGAGTGGGTGCCGTGCTGGACCATGGAGGGGGAAAACAGCTACCGCTGCCCTGAATTGTGGCACGGTGCACAGCAGCCACCATGGAGTGGCTCCACTGTGTTGCTCCTCCTCCCGCCATGCTTGGGGATCTCCTGCAGTGAACATCCCAGTCCCAGTCACACCAGACCAGCCGTGTTAAAGGAGATGCTCACTTGTCATTTTAGCTCTGTGGTCCCTCAGACAGTTCTACCGCATGATCTACCAAAGCATACGGGGGCATCCAAATATCTCTTTCAACGTAAAAATGAAAGGATCAGGCAGAGAGTGGTTCCAGGTAGGACCAACACCTTTCCCCTCCTTTGCTTTGTTGCTTGTGCATAACAAAAATCTTCCTTTGAGTGGTTGTGGGGGAATGTGCTATGCGATTTTGCAAGCACAGGACAGTAAACATATGGGTGAGTGGGCTTCCCTCTGCTGCAGAGGGAAGTGGCTTATACTTCTTCAAATGGAGCCTGAAGTTACTGACCAGTAAGACAGGGGCTACTTTATAGTTACATTCCACAAAGAGCCAAGCCTGGTTGTGTGCAACTGACGCGGGTTCGTGGGCTTGCTGGTTTGGGATGCATCACCGGCGAGATAAAGCCGTTGTATAAGCGAATGTATCAGCATCCAAAATCAAAGCAAGGCAGCTTTCACTTCAGCGTTATGTACAGATGCCAGAATAGCTTTGATCATTTCACTGCTGAGCTGATACCCCTTGTTTTTAGCCCAGCCTGGGCTCGCCAATCCTTGAGGAATTTGAGGTACAGACCATATCTCTGTTGTGTTTGGACAGCGCCTGGTGGAATAGCACTGGGAACTCTAGGTTCTGCTGTGGTAACAGCAGTAGTAAGGACAACCATCTGCTTTCAACTCTTGCCTATTGATAGTCACACATGATTCCACAGTTTAGTCTCAGGTATTTTCTCCCCTGTATAAGTGTCCCTGGGAAAAGGCAAAAAGCTGGGCCAGATCCTCAGCTGGTGTCAATCAGTGTAACTTAACTGAAGTCACTGGCACTGTGTGTATTTCCTGTAAATAAGTACCCATGTGTCAGACACATTTCAAGCAGCCTCTGGACCAAGGAAAGTTATGATGAGACAATTTATTAGGGTTTCCTGGGATTTACAATCAATGAAATGAGCTGGACTCTTCAGTTGAGATTTATTTTCTGGTGACAGGGGAAAGAAAAGAAGCAGTGTTAGTCATTTTTAAAAAATAAGTTACAGTTTCACACTAAACCAGACTAAATGGCTCCCGGTAAAGCAAGTTCTTATTTACAAGTCCACTCTGTCTGAAGCATCAATGGCTCTCTCCTACTGGAGAAGTGTAACCTATACTGTGGCAAGCTAAAACAGATGGGCCCGAAGTCCTGGGTATCCAATTAGATTTATACACGTGCAACAAGCTGGTCATAAAACTGGGAGATTTCTTTGTAAATTTCAAAAAGTGTCCGAACAGCTGACCACTCTCCTCTAAAGTAACGTCGGCATCTGAGGCAAGCCCACAATCCTTCTGCATGGTGCAGCTGAGTTAAGTCTCTCTGGGTTGCCTCCTCTCCTATTGGCATTTCCAGCATTGTAGACTACTTCTAGGCCAGGAGGCTCAAAGCTAGGGATGAAATAAATGGCTGGACTTTCAAAGTTGCCCCTTACCTAGTAGCTCTCACTGAAATCCCACTGAAGTCAATGGAAGCTCCTTGGTGCTCAGGCTATTTACTTCAACACCTAAGTAAGCCTAACTTTAGGCCTCCATTTTTGACGCTGGACACAAGAATGCCTCATTTTTGTAGGACAGCAGCAAAACCATTTGCTGTGTAGAGATGGCACCAAAGATGGGCCAAGGCTGTTCAGTTGCGATCCTGCTCCAAACTTCCCCAGAGTTTGAGGGCTTTGGTGCAGGCCTATACATTTGATTTAGTCATCGAGAGCTGACTGAAAAGGAAACAGAGATAGTAGTTCTGGGATGGGTCAACCGGTTTTCTTTTAGGTACTTAAATAAAAGCAGCTAGATAATCATTTCACGTAAGTGTGCAGAAATCTAGTTAAGCACTTGGAGCTTTGCTTTAATGGGCCGATACCTACCTCATTTATCCAGTCGATGTAGGCAGACACCCGGGTGAAGACAGTTGGCTTCTTATAAGTGTTGCAGCCCAGCCCAGATCCAAAGCTCACAATGCCATGTACTTCCCAAGCATTAGCGCCATGACAGTTCAGTGGGCCCCCAGAATCTCCCTGACACAACACAAAAGAGGGAAACTTTTATTATAGTAACAGTCCTTCTGGCTCAGCGATAAGGCTTGGCTGATTTTCTTAGTATTAAGACTTTGGGAGGATACAGAGAGAATTTCTGCCTTTTTTTTTTGTGTCTAGTGTCTTGGACTTCTTCAAACTCTTGGGGATAATGCCTTCATTCTGTACTGTGGTCACTGTTCAGAAAGTCCATATGTGACCCGGTGTTGTACATAGGACACTACCATTTTTCTCTATACTCGGAGTAGGAAATAACTGGTAGCTTTGACTTTTTCAAGGCAGCCTTGCGTATCTTCGCTCATGCATTCGAGTAACTTGTTCTATTGGGTGTGTGGCCAAGCTGAATTCCACTGTTCTATCAGAAGTGGGTGAATTGGTGTCTGCATGGAAATAAGAGGCTCGTGTTCAGATACGGGTGAGGCGAGCACCTTCAGACTTCTTCTCCACCCAGGCACTTCACTCTAACCTGCAACAGCTGCTTCAGTTCAGAGGATGGGCCTTGTGCTCAGCTATGAAGTGGATGAATCTTTTACATTTGTGTTCTGCGTTGTCAAAGGCATACATCAATCACCAGTGAAATGCAGCCCCTCTGGTGTGGCGAATAGCCAGATTAACTCTTCTGCTCAGCAGTTAGAAGAGACACTGGGATCTTATGAAAAGCACTGTGGGATCTTTAATTAATTTGCACGGATCAAAAAGGACATTGGTTTGCAAGATTGAGTTCAATCCTCCCCTTACCCCCCCAAAAAGAAGTAAATAAATGGCTTGAGAGGTGACTTGATCCCTGCTTAGGTTTGAACCTGTAACTCCAGGGAGTCCTATATTCCAAACTTGATACATGGACTGCTCAGCTGTGCCACAAAACTCACTCAGCTTGTTAGCAAATATCAGAGGTGCCAAGTCTCACTTTGATGTCATTATCCAGAGGACTTTCTTGGTTGAATTTTCATAGCTAGGGAGTCCCTAGGAGCCACTGAGATGCTGCTGTGAACCCATCAGCACATGCCCCAGTTCCTGCCAACAGGATTTGCTCACCTTTCTTGAGAGGTGATGAGAAAGGATGCAGCGCTACCGTGCTGGGAAGACTTACTTGGCATCCAGAAACGACTCCATCTCCTCCGGCACAGACCATGGTTTCTCTGACCATGAAGCCCCACCAGTCCCACTGACTGCAAGTGGCATGGTCCACCACAGGCAGCAATGCCTGCTGGAGATCATCAGAGATGGGGCCATTGGCTGGTAAATAGAGTGGGTCACAAAAAAAGAAAAAGAACCATCAGGAGCGTTTTACACAGGTGAGAAGCCAAGTCAGGAGCTGTCTTCCTCACAAGGGAGGTTATTCAGAAAATGGAAACATCAGATTGACTGGCTATTGGTGATCACTCAAGATACCAGTATATGAAGGGTGCAAACAGCAAAGGAAGGAGAAGAATCACTGAGGGTGCGTAAAAGCATTATGGGAAGAAACTGAGTAAAGGTAAATTTAAGATGTTAATCAGAGAAGACTAGACTGGGAAAAGGACTAGAACAAAGAGTAGGAATCAATGCTGCATTGTCAAGCAGGTAAACTAGTAACTCTCCTAACTCTCTTCCACCTCTAACCTCTATGATTTATTAGCTCTTTTGGGAGTCTGAGATCTGATCTGGCTCCAAGGGAAATCCAAGCTCAGACATCCTTTGGTTTCTGGTTCAGGAGCTCAGTCAGCCTGAAGGCACTGTGTCCTATTTCCTCCAGCATAATAGTTTCCAATCTTTTTGGCCACCTGCACCAGTTCCCCATGCTTTGGCCTCCACTGAACCAGCCCATGCTCACTCTAGCCTTTCACAGTGCATGGGCTGTTCCAGATCTTAGCTTTGTGAGAGGGGCCATGGCATGTCAGAGCGGGGCCAGTGACATGGGAAGCTTGCAAAGGAGGCTCATTGTTAAAACAGGTAGCCTGGAGTAATACTCAGCAACAACTGGAGTCTATCGGTACTGGGCCACGTCCCAGGAGCGGGACACCACGGCTGTAGGAGAAGGTGCTCTACTCACTCCAAAGGCGTCCCCATCCGGTGATGTAGCAGGGGAAGTCTTGTGTCAGGATTGCACCGTTTGCAGGAAGGCAGGCTGGCTGGATCGTCTTGCTCAGTTGTACGGGCTCCGCTAGCTTGATCAGGGCAATATCGTTGCTGAAACCCAAATCAGATCGGGAGGGGAAGTTTAAACTCAGCTGGGAAACACTGGAGTCCTGAGGACTGAGAGACCCTTTGAGACCCTCTTACCCACCTTTTCTTTTCTAGCTGAGTAAGATGTTCAAGTTCTTGTTCCTTCCACACTCAAGAGTGAGTGGGCTCACTAACAACCTTCCTTTCCCTCCTTCGCTCATTTCTAACTGCCGGATGTCTATGTCAATGTCTATGCTCAGTCCTGACTTGGTGTGGAAGGCAGACCCACAGAACAAACAGCAACTCTCTCAAGCAGAGAGGACACAAGTCCAGTTCAGTAGCTCTATGCAGGGCCAGATTTCAGTGGGAGTTTTGCCTGTGGGAAGGAAGCTGCAGGGTTGGCATCTTTAAGCAGTATTAGAGTAGGATCCAAATTTCAAAACATGGTGTTAAAAAATAATCCCACCGTAAATAAAGATGCAATATCAATATACTGGATAAAGAGCAAAAGTGTCAAAACGGCTTAAGTCCCATTTTCAAAAATGACCTGGGTACTTAAAACCTGTGTCCCTTTGACTTTCAGTGAGACCTAGGTGCCTAAGTCACTTGGGCCTTTTTGAGAATTTTACCAACCACTTTTTCGCACACATTAAATACATGCCTTAGTTTGCAAACACTTTAAACTTGAGTTATGAGAATAAACGAAGTCTAATATCTGAGCCAGTCAAAAAAAAAAAAAAAAAAAAAACATGGACAGCCAATGTAGCCATAAAACAACTGCTGAGGTGTTTGTGCCTTACCCCGGCCTGTCTTCTTAATTTGATTGAATTGATGTAATCTGAACCGTGACATTCCATTACAAAAGCAACCCTTCACTAGAACCACCTCACCAAAGCACATCCCACACGGCAGCCAGTCAGAAAGCAAACGGAACCAAAAATCTCCCCTGCCCACTCCTTAGCTTCCCAAAGGAAACACGTCACGTGACTCCAGATCAAAGCAGGGAAGGCTGGCAGTGAGTTTGGGGCGGTGGTGAGAGAATGAGGGTTGGTGACATGACCCAATAATTCTCTTTACACAAGAGTGGCCTGCCTGAATAGCAACTTTCCTTATTGCAGCTGTCAGAGGCATATTTTAATCAAAGTGGCTTAGGGGGCAATCAGTGAAATAGAGCCAGAACTGGCTGATTTGAGCTCAGCTTTCACAGCACAACTGCTGAAAGAGAAACTGTAGAGCCCCCAGCACCCAGGGGCCTTAGAGGATTTACATGATCAGGAAGGAGTTCCATTTCTCATGGACAATGATCTTCTCCACAGCAGTGGCCACAGAGCCAGGTTCCTCGACCTCCAGGTTTTGTTTCCCCAGTAGAACTCGGTATGTTCTGCTGTTGCTATAGGAACAAACGGCAGGAGAAAACACTGTTAAACTTACGTCTTCAAATTCACAGCTTATCTGCTTAGGCCTTGCATTAGTTTCCTAGCTGTGACGAGGCCATCAATGAAACCTAAGGAAGTAACTCTGTTAGCGGACAGCTATTAGCCTCATTGTGGATCAGGCACCAGGTGAAGGCAAAGACCCACACACCCCTAGCATGAGTTGCGTATTCTCACTCTTGGTCCCCTCCCCAGCTGCGTTTCTGCACTAAACACTTGGACTTCCTGGACAAGGGCTTGGGGCCTGTTCCCTTGGCAAAAAACTTCCGCTCCTAGTTTGTGCGCATGGCTTATCTGCCCTCGTTCACCCACCATGGCTATTTGTTTATCTCAGTGGTTCTCAGCCATGGTACATGTATCCCTGGGGGGTACGCAGAGGTCTTCCAGGGGGTACAGCAACTCATCTAGCTATTTGCCTAGCTTTGCAACAGGCTACATAAAAAGCACCAGCAAAGTCAGTACAAAGTAAAATTTCGTACAATGACTGGTTTATACGGCTCTGTATACTATACACTTAACTGTGAGTACAATATTTATATTCCAAGTGATTTATTTTTATAATTCTATGGTGAAAATGAGACAGTAAGAAATTTTTCAGTAATCATGTGCTGTAACACTTTTGTGTTTTCATGTCTGATTTTGTAAGCAAGTTGTTTTTAAGTGAGGTGAATCTTGGGGTACACAAGACCAATCAGACTCCTGCAAGGGGTACAGTCGTCTGGAAAGCTTGAAAGCCACTGGTTTACCTGATGCAGTGGGCCGCAGTGAGGACCCAGTTGGTAGCAATAAGGGTCCCGCCACATGTGTGAGCCCAGACGCCACTTTTGTCGTACTGGAGGGAAATCTGAAATTCACCGAAAGCATGAGGACGTTAGCCTGGATTTCACCCAGTGGTTAAAAAAATAAAGCCCAATCTTGGGCAATAATAACGCTGCTTCTTTACCTGCCAGGGCCAGCTGTGGGGATTGGCATCTTCACCTCCGACCACACGGGCGACAAAAGGTGGGTAGGCAGGGACGCCACAACTGTAGGCTGGGAAATGCAACAGGGAAGAGAGATGAGCATTTACAAATTACCACAACCTGATACTAATGGCCTGACCCTATGCTCCTGTCTGCTAACCAGCTCAAGGAGTCCCAAGTTCATTTGGGGACGGGGAATGTGCTTGTGAGCTTTATTTCCACCTGAACTCCCCTGCCCCCTGCCCGCCCATGCGATTGGATTGAATGCAAGTTTGTCATCAAGCTGAGCTGGGCATCTGAAGAAGAGATGTTCACTAAAGGATGTGGTGCAACATACCAAGGAAACTTAGGAGGGAAGAGGAGAAGCCCTGTGTATGGTAAACCTGCATTCAATATGCTATGGGCACTGACAGTAAATTGCACCAAGGAAATCCCCCAAGTTAACTGACCCAAATTGGGTCCAGTCTCAAGTGCAACTGTCAAATTCTCAGGAACAAGTGTCCATATTGCAGCAGGTGTGAACTGGTCACCTTGCTGGAGTCTCTGTAGTGAGGCCAAGGTCTAACTGGGCCAAGGTAACTGAATTCCCATCTGGCTCCTGGAAGAAGTCCCTGTGGAGTAGGTTTGAGGGACACCGGCAGGAAGCTTGCTCAGTGCTCCAGCTTGTGGTGAGGGAGAGGCCTTCAGTCGCCAAGGCTGTCATTTGGCAGCCCCCTGCACTCATTTCGGGCCTCCCCTCTCCCTTCCCATCCAAGGAGACTGGAGTTGCCAGACATATAAAAAACTTACCATAGCCCAGGAGCAAAGCGAGGAACACAAACCCGAACATGGTGACTGTCTAGGTTCAGCGAAGGGGACTGCTGACTACTTATAGGGTAAGACCAGTTTGACCTGAAGCCAAGAATGGAGATTAGCTGCAGCATAGAACCAATACGCGGTGAGATAAATATTTGTTCCTAACCTTGGGAAGTTATCGTTCCGCAAACATGATGCACTGGGCAGTTTGGAAGAAAAGGCAATGTCTTACCTTTAAAATGTGCGACCTAGCAGGATTTCTCTCTCTGTAGAAAGAAAAGGAGTACTTGTGGCACCTTAGAGACTAACAAATTTATTTGAGCATAAGCTTTCGTGAGCGACAGCTCGCTTCATTGGATGCACGTAGCAAAGGCTCACTCACCGTGCCATGCCGGGCAAGCCACAGTTGCTTTTAGGTATACCCAGGATATCAGGCACCACGAACCAGGTAATGCTTTCATTCTACACAGAGATCCTGGGGTCAGTAAAGAAAAGGCAAAACTTTGCTCTCCGGCCTCCATACACTGGGTTTGTACCGTGTTTAATCTGCTAATGGGCAGTCGTTTTTGACTCGCTTACCTGATCTTCTCTGTGCATCAGTTTTTCCATCTTAATTAATGCTCCCTGAAGGCCTCACATGGACGAGGCTATAGCACAGGCAAAGTACCGGTGTTATAGTCAAGTATTTTCTCATTTCGGAAACTTTTTCTTCTCAAGTGGGAGGCTTGGCTTGGTCTGGGTTACTGCGCCACCCATTGCTACTGTATAACAGTGGGGCCACTGTAAGATGCATATGCATCTCCAGCACCTAGTTTTGACACCGAAAAGGGGTCAAGACAGTATCTGCCAAGGTATTTAGGTACCTAATGCTCATGGGAATTTGGTGCCTCAAGCCCTTTGAGGATCTGAGCCTCACTACTTAAACATTCCACAGATAACCTTAGCAATAGCTTCAGTCCAGCCGAGCACTCGCACGCTGTAGCAATTTTCCGGACAAGAAGCCCCCTGACTTCAATGGGACGATGGTGGAGTAAGATTGCAGACAATGCGAATAAGGGAGGCAGAACCTGGCCTATCGCTAGAGAAGCTGTATCATTTTGCCTCGCCTTGCGACAGATTAGCGAGGATATTCTCTTACTAGTTACAAGAGCAGGGTTCCTAGGCCTCTGAAGGGCTTCTGTAACATTTAAGCACTTCCATATTTTCAAGGCGTGTTCTCAGAACGGCTCGCGCAAGTGAATCTGTGGGACAATTGTTTTTGGTAACAGGATTAAGGAAAAACCATCTGGTTACTTCCAAAAGTAAAGCTGATGTTCCGGCTTCTGCAGAAAGCATTTTAGGTGCTGCTGGCATTCACGAAATCCCCGTCCAGCTGCTGCCTGACCTGTAGGAGCCTCAAAGATATTTAGATGGTTTCAATGGGAGTTAGGTGCCAAACTAGATTTGGATCTAGGCACTTAAGTTCCACTGTGACAGTCCCTAAAGCCCCTGACTGGCTAGTGCAGGGGTGGGCAAACTACGACCCATGGGCCGGATCCAGCCCCTCGGGGCTTTGGATCCAGCCCGCAGGATTGCCCCCACTGCTCTCAGAAGCGGCTGGCACCACGTCCCTGGGGCCCCAGGGGGGGGCAGGGGACTCTTGCCTCCAGGCACCGCCCCCCCCCCAGCTCCCATTGGCCGGGAATGGAGAACCGCGGCCAATGGGAGCTTTGGGGGAGGTACCTGGAGGCGTGGCAAGGGCAGCGTGCGGAGTCCTGTGCCCCCCCTACCCCCAGGGGCCACGCCGGGACGTGGTTCCTGCCGCTTCCCAGAGCGGCGCGGGGCCAGGGCAGGCAGGCAGGGACCCTCCCCTGGCCCCAGTGCACGCCGCTGCCACCCCGGAGCCCGAACCCCTCCTCCCAACTCCCTGCCCTAAGCCCCCTGCCCTCCCATGCACCCCAACCCCTTGCCACACCCCTCCTGCATCCCAACCCCTTACCCTGAGCCCCGTCACACACCACACCCCTCCTGCACCCCAACCCCTTGCCCTGAGCCCCCTCCCACAGTCCGCACCCCTGCCCTGAGCCCCCTCCTGCACCCCAACCCACTTCCCTGAGCCCCCTCATACACCCGCACCTCTCCTCGGCCCCAATCCCTTGCCCTGAGCCCCTTCCTGTACACCGCACCGCCTCCTACACCCTGTACTCCTTCCTGCACCCCAACTCCCTGCCCCGGCCCTGCATACCATTTCCCCTCCCAGATGTGGCCCTCGGGCCAAAAAGTTTGCCCACCCCTGGGCTAGTGGCTAGTTTAGGCAGCTCACCGCTGAGCTTGCTGGCTTTTGTGACTCGGTGCCTAAAGTGCCCCACACATTGTGTGTGTGGGGAGCCTGGACACCTAACGCGGAGCTGTGAATTCCCCTGGGCAGCCCAGCACCTAAAAGATGGGTGCTGCCCCACTCCGCCTGGCAGCACTTACGTTCCTCCTTGAGCATCCGGCCCTTAGACTCAGCCTGGAGTCTGGGCAACCGGAACGGAGTTGCAGAAGGCAGGGGTAGCCCTATATGAAAAAGGAAGCCAAGCTTTAGAAGGGTCAGTGTGTCAACAATGGGAATGGAGAGCCCAGACTCTGTAGATGGACACTGGGCCTATCGAGAGGGAATTTGAGGAGCAAATAGCCAAAGGCAGAAACAAATCACAAGAGGTAACGTAAGGGCTTGTCTAATTCACAGGGAATTGGGGAATTGACAGGGCCGTGAGTGAAGAATAGCCAGGGTGGGAATTCAAAGTGCAATAGCTGTTCTGCACTAACTCCCTGTGTGGACACTTACTCCGCAGTGGATTGACCTAACCCACACAAAGGCACTCACCTGGCAATAAGAGTGTTCACACGAGGCGCTTTGCTGTTCCGGGCTTTCCCCCCAATGGAGATAACACTGGTATGTCAGAGACAGTAGATCAGAAACAAGAAGACTGAGAGAATTGGTGGATTTGCTGGAATACTAAAGAACTGGGAGTGCAACTACAGAGACAAATGTTTTCTTTGATGTTCATCACAGAGGATGTTGAGGAGATAGCGAGCCTAGACCCACCTTCTCAAGTAATAAAGGTGAAACGGTGAAAGATGTGGAGCCATCAGAAGAGGAGGCGCTGGAAGAAATTAGGACATATCAGCTGGGTAGATCTCACGCCATTGTGGGGCCCTGAGGCATTGGTGCACCTCAGGCCTCCCTGTTCTCTGCCTGCCGCACACAGTAGGTTAGTCTCTTGAAGGCTGTGTAATTTGGTCTTATTCTGGTTGTTGGGTTCAGTGGGTGGGTGCTGGGTGGAACCTGTGATGTTCAGGTCAGATTAGAAGATCTAGGCAGACACTGCAAAGGGACTGGCTGACCCTTGCAGAGAGCTCAGCTGTGAGAGGCTCCAGTTCTTTTACACGTTGGCGTGAATTCAGCCAAGCTCCCACAGATTGGAGCATTAGCTTTGCTTCTGGCGGGAAGGCCCCTGAGAGCGAGGTGCTAACAGGTGTTTCACAGAAAGACAAATAGGCAAATACTCAAGGACCCATTTTTCAGCTGTCCTGTGTAACCAGCTGCTCAGCTCCCCCCAGAGCCCTCGCTGGTGGCAAAGCGTCAGCTTGGGTGCCCTAGATGCAGTGAATTTTACTGCCAAACCTCCTAGTCAGACATAGAACCATGGGCCTCCAGCAGGGTGCGAGGCAAAGTGCTGTGTTCTCACGCCCTGGGAGGACACAAACCCGAGAGCGCCTTGCAGCCCGCGGACTGGCTGACGCATTAAAACGCAATGGCGCTTCCTTTCCTGTAGAGTTCCCGATAGAGTCCCATGCAAACTGTCCCCGGCACGCTTTGTAGATGCCAACGCAACAGTTGATGCCGGGTGTGAAATGGTTTTGGCACCCCTTACCGGGTGGCTGTGCCCGAACGCCAACGGAAGCCATAGCTGCAGGTCAGCCTGTGTTAGGTGAGCATAATGGTCCCGTGGGACCTTAAAAATCTATTAATTTAGTTCTTACAGCTTTTGCATAGCAACTTATAATCAGAACCTGAGCAACGGGGTGGCACGGGGGGAGGATGTCTTTGCAGCCTGCCTGTGTGCTCTCCTCCCCTCTATACACTATTGTCAGTTTTGTGGCTGCAAAACCTGCAGCCCCACTGAACACCCTTGGCTTTCAAAAGCAGCCTGGAGCAACCTCTAGCCACGGACAGCTGGCACTGGAGCCAGGGTGGGAGGCTGGTACAGATCATCCCTCACCCCTGCTGGCTTAGATGGGCTGCTTAATATGGGGCTTGCTGGCTGCTTCTAAAACTTCATGGTATCATCAGGGCTGGATTAACCTTTTCTGGGCCCTGGAGCCTGGACTGTGGCCACGGCTCCCCCACTTCACCCCCAGGCCCTGCCCCCGCTCGGCCTCTTCCCCCAGAGGCCCGGCCCACCACTCACACAGGGGTAGGGGGCAGAAAGGAGCAAGCAGCAGGTGGGTGCGGAGAGGAACGAGCCAGAGGCGGGTCGTCCGGGGCAGGAGAGGCCAAGTGGGGGAGTGGCCTCAGGGCGGATCGCAGGTGGAGCAGGGGGTGTGGCCATAGTCTGGGCACCAGGGCCTCTTCTGGCATCATTGTAAACCCGGTACTGGGTATCATACAGATTGCACCAGCCTGGCTGCACTGTATCAGGGTGGGGAGGGTGGGGAGAAAATGGGAGGACTGGGTATTAAAACTAACTGTCACCAGCACTAGTAAACCTAGCATGGTCATAGCCAGCATCACCTCCTATTGCTCTCTACTGAATTGTCCCATCTTGGATCCATCCAGCAGAGCACTTTGTATCTCCACCTACTCCTGCCTCTCCTTGGATCTAGTTTCCCACTGCTGTGGCCTCCCAACTCCCTTTTCCTCACGGTTCCTATGCTGGCTCAACCTCTCTCCCAAGTCTCCCTCGCACCCTTCTGTTTCCCCGTGTTGTTTGTGTTTCCCCTTCTACTTTAGCCCATCTTTCTTCTCCATCTCTTTTTCTAAGGGAGGCAGGTGCTCAACCCACATTGATTTTCCGCTGGTGCCGAGTGACTAATTTCCATTAGGCCTCTCTGAAAATCTTATCCGCAAGAGCAAACTGGGAGGTTTGGCTTGGCAGCCGCAGGGGATTCTTGTGGGCAATTTGCTCATTTCATTACGTTTTAGAAAACATTTCTTAACACGGACGTTTGCCCCATTTCCGCCTTCCCATTCCCCAGGGTCGTGAGCAGGAGAATAAATATAGCTGCTGTGATTTAACTATCCAGGACAAATCCACAGCCCACATGGAGATTTTGCTTATCAGGCGGCTGCTGGTATGAAAGTAGGGTTTGGGCTCATGAAAATTTCATCTGGGGCTCCCCAGGGCAACAGCCTCCATGCTGCA